GTTAAAGAAGGAACTAAACTACCAGGCCACATTCACAAACCTCCTCTTAGTTTATAATCCAAAATAATATCCAGAATGGTAGATTGCATTTAGCATTGCAGTGGGCATACTGGAAAATACAGGTTATACTACCATGTGTTTTCTATCTTCCCTTGCAAGTAATGATGTTAAACTAAGGTAAGTTTTTTGTCCTTTTAATTTTTTTCTATAAATCATCTCCACTCCTAATTTATAGAGATGTCTTCTTTCAAAGTACAATAGGCCCTTGTCTTTAACAGATTTGATATGGATTCATTTATTCATAAGCAACCCCAAAAGTTCAAAAATGTAATAATTTTGACAAGGCAGGGTTGAGATGCTGCGAAGGTGACAGCTGGAAAAAGTCACTTAGCGAGTGTCTGGAGAGGATGTGTATATGGCAGAGATTCCACATTTCACATGTAGTGGGCTGCAAAGAGCCAGTTTGGGTCAACTATTTCCCATCTATTTTTAAAAAGTGGTTGCTGTTGGGGCCAGGGGACATCATGGGAGGTGGGATTGGCCTGTTAGCTGTGCCCTGCACTCTCGGCCCAGGGAAGACTTGAAGGGGGTGAGGGGTGCAAAGGCTTCACAAGTAGGCAGACTAGTTTGGGTAGGAAAGGGGCTGAGGTAGGTCCAGCCTGGGATGAAAGCAGAAAAACATTCAAGATTTGGCAGCCTTGGTACAGATATGCTTAATCACCATGGAAGCCAGCAATACACATCTCAACATGGCTTTGATATTCTCTACTTCCTGGCCTTTATAAATGTCCTAAAATTTTTCAGTTTACTGTATTTTATAAAGAAAATCCTCTCTTATGATGGTATCAAGCATTTAAGATTTATGAAGACATTAGGACAGATATCTCAGGAATGTGAAGGTCAGAAAAGGTCTGTTTTCTTTCCCTGGCTCGTGTGGCTCAGTGGATTGAGTGCCGACCTGTGAACCAAAGGCTTGCCGGTTCAATTCCCAGTCAGGGCACAGGCCTGGGTTGCCGGCCAGGTCCCCAGGATGGGGTACACAAGAGGCAACCATACATTGATGTTTCCCTCTGTTTCTCCCTCCTTTTCCCTCTCTCTAAAACTAAAGAAATAAAACCTTAAAGCCAAGGTTGCGAACTGGTGGCTCAGACCTGAATCCTGAAAAAGTTTCAGGAAGAAGAAAAGGTCTGTTTTCTCTATCAAATACTATGGGTTTTGTGACTGACCCTTGGTGCTTAAACCAGGAGGTTTCAATCTAGTCCTAGAGTTCTGTCTCTCTGAAAGGTCCAACTCCATGTGACTAATAAACTGGATGTATATTTTGAGCCTTATTTAATTCACAGAGAGGTTGACTTAACTCAGTATTTTTATTTCAGTAAATGAAAATAGTCCTCCTTTCACCTCCAGATTGCTTAACATTTTGCTGGTCTCCCCAAGTGACCATTGGTGGGGACCAATTAATGAAGGAATGACATTTGCTTTCTTGGGACTGTGGTATTCTAAAGAGCCGTGCTTAACCACTTTTTCTAGTGAAGAATCTACAGAATGATAATACCTAAATATGGATGGCCAAGAAGAGTTTGTTATCTACGGTGTGCTTTATGTATTTTTGACACTGCTGTATTCTGTGTGATCGAGTGACTTGTAACTGGTTCCAATGTGAGTGTCCTCAAAGAATTCTAGTAACGAAGTTGACTTAATTTTCTTAAGCCTTGTATTACTATTAGTCTCACATTTACCACTTTGATTCCAGTCTATTAACTGTTCATAACAGGGCATACCAAGGGTTGGGATAAGAGCCTACTTCCTACCTCTTAAGGCACTTTCCTCATTATTTTTCCATGTAACCTTGAAGTGCATGATAAGCTGTTGAAATGTCCATGACTTCTCCCAATGCAACTAGCAAAGTATATGACATTGAATAGAGATTAGTGGAAAGGAAAATTTAGAGACTAAGTTCAGAAGCGCAAACCTCAAGAAAACCTCTTTAGAGCACATACCATTTGAATACAATATACGTAAATGTATGTGAGAAGAGAGTTGCTATAATAGTCTTCTAAGTAGATTAGTTCATTATCTAAAGGAAGTGAAAATCTTTACTCCTATTATCACTATAGTACTGAATGAACTGTATACTGGGTTTTTCAAACAAGTATTTAAAATAGAACTTTTAAATACAGAGCAAGGGCATAAGGATAAAGGTTTGAGTTTGTGTTTCTCTATATTGTTTCATCTAAAGCTTTGTTTCTTAATCAAAAAATGCTTCAAGGTATTGCCATTTCTTAGCATCCTTAATAATTATGGGTGATGAGTTTTTAATTCTTAAAATTATGTACATGTATTAGGTTTATCTTAACTCTTACCCTACAGAAGGGAAAGTATCCGGTATACACCTACGGGATGTAATTATTTTGCATTTTTAGCCATGGGTGGGAATGGGGTGGGCATCTACTTAAACCGTTTTTAAAAAAGAAAAAAATCACAAATATTTTTCTACTATTATATATGATCTTACTTTATACTAGTTTCTCTCTAGTAAGGCATGCCAGAAGTCCAAGCTACCATATCATCAGTTCACATGTATTGTACCTTTTATTGGTGGTTAAATCGCATCAGATGCTTGGCACTGCTGCCGTAATTATGAAATGCTTGTAAAGGATTAAATATCACTGAGTACTTTAAATTGTTTTACTTAAGAGTTTAATCTGGGAAGTTTTCAAATAATACTATTAATGTGTAATCTAAGCTCTTTCATATGTATCCATGAATAATCCTGGAACAATATTGCTTGTATTCCTGTCACAGAACAGGTTTTGTAATCTTTAAAAGAAATGAAAATTTATATAATAAAGTTTCAAGTAAATGCATGTATGTTCCTTTGTCAGATTATTTTGATTACATGATGATTAATCCTTCATATTATCAAATTCTATCCAAAGTACAAATTTATCAAGTTGCACTGGTAGAACTTAAGACAGGAATAGTGTTTCTGAGTTAATAAGAAGTACAAACTAATTTTGCTATGCAAAGTTTTGGTTAGCCTAACGAGTTTGTCAAGTCAGACTCACATCAGTCCTAGATCTTACCCAATACCAAACTTGATTAATTATTCAAAGGATACAGGGTAATCCCCAGGCACAGATGAGAATCTTTTCTTGGAGAAGTCCAAGCTTACCAGATTTAGCTCCAAAACAACCTTTTTCTCCCTCACGATGGTACATTTCCTCCTGAGTGATGTATGCGGAGACATTGTTTAAACAAAGGGAGTCATTTGGTTTTGCAACATCCCCTTTTTATGCCACATTAATTACACAATTAAAATGATGATCCCCCATTCTCTAGTCAACTCCGCCTCACAAGTCCATAAATTCCAGGTTTTATAATAAGCTATCTCTATAAATTAAGTGTGTCTTGCTAAAAGCATTTTAGAGATAAGGACTTGACGTTTCTACTAGTAAATATCTAGCACAGTTAAAAGGAAGTTTGAGCACATTGATTGCTGGTAAAAAAGAAATGGGTTATAGGCCTGCAGTTATCCCTTTCCTTCCCAGTAGACATTTTTAGTAGTTTTATATTATGGTGGTGTATTAGTTTGCTACGGCTGCCATAACAAAACGACTGACAAATTTGTCACAGTTCTGGAGTCTGGACATATTCAGTTCTTGGATCTTGACATATTTAGTTCAAGATCAAGATGCCAACTCTTTAAAAACCCTATCTCCAAGTACAGTCATATTCTGGGGAATTAGGGGTTAGGAATTCAACATACGAATGTTAGGACATAATTCAGCCCACAGCACTGAATTTAGGTCTCCCTCCCTTTCTTCCTTCGTTTGTAATGAGCACCTAGTGTGTGTCAGACATTCTGCTAAGTGCAGGTAGTAGTAAGCAACAAACAGATGGGGTCTCAGCCTAATAAGGTGTACAGTGAGGTAGGGAAGACATATAAAGCAACAAGTGTCGTGCAGATATTATTTTTTGGTAACGGGGGCGGCAGGAAAGCCTTGCTGTGCCCCTCGGATTCTTAACCTGGTAGGTTGGGTGAAAGGGCCCCCATTAAAACAAACGTGAGATTACAGCTGATGAGTCAGCTGCTCAAACTCGGAGAGGTAGGTTCCTTGCCAAGCAACAGAAGTCTGGTACTACCCAGCCGCCAGTCCTACGTGAATCCGCCTTTTTCTAGAACTCCCAGGCCCTGCCCACTCTCTCCGAGACTCTGCCTCCTCCCAGCAAACGGCCCGGACCCCCACCGGGACCGCTCCGGGAGCGCTGGTACTGCTGCTTTAACAATAGGACTGAGTTGGCCACGCCTGCGCAAAAAAGACCGGGGGCGGGGACGGGGGCGGGCCCAGGCGGCGTAGGAAGGCGGGGAGAAGCGACGCAAGCAGACGCGACGCCATTTGCTGCGGCCGAGCGTGGTAGCAGGCTGCTCTCGGAAGGGCTCGGTAGCGAGACTCTCCTGCGCACGCGAGCCGGCTTCTTGTGCCTGTTTGGTACCGTGCGGCTCCACGCGTCTGCTCTCGCGCCCTTTGGAGGAGTCGCCGCCGCCGCCATCGCCCGGATAGGAGTCAGAAAAGCCGCGAGACCTTCGTCACCGCCATGCCCAAGAATAAAGGTAATTGCTGCCTGGACCCCGGGACCCTGACTCCGCTCGCCCCGATCTCCCGGCGCTGCCTGCTGCTTCAGGAGAGACCAGGCCGCGGTGACCTTCTCCACCCTGCTTGTAGGCGGCTGGGCGGTCCGGACTGGATTCTGGGCTCGGGAGAGGAGCTGGGAAGTTACTCCTGTCTTCCAGTTTGGTCACATTGGGGTGGAGCCGACGCCATTTTTGTAGGGCCTCCTGCGGGAGAATGTGGGGGGTTTTGATCCTGATTCGCGCCACAGTGACCGCGGCGCAATGGGGACCTGCGGGGAAACCTCCGCTGGGCAGCCGGGGCTTCGCAAATGCACGTCCTTAGGCCTTTCCCGGCAAGGGGAGTTAAACACTGGAAGCAGCTCTTAATTTCTAGGGGGTGATGCCTGCTTTAGTGACCACCATCAGGTAGGTACTCCTGCATGGGTTTCTTGATGGACAGTTGTTGAATATTGTTGAGGCTGCTCCTCATGTTAACAGGGGGCAAAACTGGATGCATTTCTGAGGTTCATTTGAAGAGATTTACCCTGCCCTATCCCTTTACGGGGTTTAACTTTTTTCCTGCCGGAACACTTGTTTCTTATTTGGCCGAGTTCTCCACTTTTGTTTCAGATCGCGCACGTATGTGTGTGTATACACACACACACACATATATGCACGCACACACATATACATACATAGTGCTGGGGGTAAAGACCTTTAAGTTCCTCTCCATTCTGAAGTTAAACATTCACAAATTATCAGACTTGAGGATAAGTTTAATTGGAATTTCCAAAATAGCCTAATCCAGGTGAAAGCAGAACAGTACTAAAGAAATTCTCCCTTTTTTAGACGTAAGAGTGTTTCTGCTTTTTAAGCATCCTTGTAATTTCTCAAAGGAAATTGCGCAAGTAGAAACTGGGAAAACTTTTGACAGGAGAGGAGCATCTTTCAGAACCCACCGGAAGTTTCCTTTCATTATTCATCCTGAGACCTCCCTCCTCCCCTCATCCCCCCAAACCTGGCCTACTTCTGTTCTCTTTCCTACCTCACAGCTGGCTCCAGGGATTCTTCCTCATTTCCTCTGTAGCTGTCACTACTCATTTTATCCCTCAGGATATTTCGTTGCTGTTCTGGGCAAAATTTAGTGCAGTTCCTTCAGTGCATGCTACCTTACTGCCCTTAGAAATCTAACTTGTAGGCCCACTTAGTAGCAAGGATTTTGCTGCTAATTATTCTGGGAAAGGTGAGTGTTATAATAGGGTTTTAAAAGTCATAGTTTTCTTATAACCTATATAAACCTTTATTCCCTCCAAGATGGTAAACTCAGTCACTTGGATGGGTATCTTAATATCACTTTTATGTATAGCACAAGATTTCCAATTCCTTCACTGGACTGTAAGCTTAGAGAGCAGTAAAATAGTACCTGTCTTAATCACATTGGATTGCTGGCACTTGACACTTAGTAGATGCTCAGTAAATATTTGCTGGTTTAAGTCACCCCCCTTCTGTTGAGTCCACACTTAGGTGAATAATAGGTTCCCCTTTGGTTCCAAGGGGACAGGACTGTTTTAAAATCACATCTAGTTCACTAGCCTCTTTTAAAGGCCATTCCATTACATGGCAATAAGAGAGGGGGTGATAAGGGTATGGTTATTTCTAGTAAATTAACAAGGTGAATCACTTTTATAAGTAACATTTGAGGTGTGTAAAAATGATAGATAATGCAGTGTATACCTGGGAATCTATTAACTCTGAACTTGAGAATTACAACACAGATTCAGTTAAACCCTCTGTCTCCCTCCCCGATCCGCTTCCTCTTTCTGAAGGTAACCAGCATTCCGAACTTAGTATTTATTGTTCCTGGGTATGTAAAAACAGTTATCTGACTTGTTTTCTTACTTAGAGGACTGGTACTTTTCAAGACCCCTGCATTTTATGAGATGAGGTTTAGTGTAGAAGTAAATTTGTTTGTTTTCTTCATTGGAAAAGCCAGAAACCCTGTGAATGAATATAATCTTGATGATGGTTATACAAGTAAGGATATAAATTACCATGAACTGTGTGTCAGAAGACTTCAGCTTTGGACTGATTGTTAGCTTATTTCCTCTAGATTCTGTTAACTTACTACCTCAGGAAAAAGGGTATCCTTTGGTCCATTCAGAAGAGCCTGTAGGGTAAGGTGCTCCCACATTTTGAGGATGTTGTTACCTTTGATTTTTAAATCACCATTCCTTTAGGAATATATGGACTACTCTTGACTGATTTATTCAAAGAATTGCCAGGTCCAGTATATAATTCAGCAAACAAAGTAGGTTTGATTCTTGCCTTAATGGAGCTCTCACGCTAGTTTGAAGATCTGGCATGATTAATGGCTTGAAGCAGAAGCTACTTTTCTCTTCTAGGAAATTAGTTTTGGTATGCCCTAAGAATGCCTCAAATACTGAATTCTGAGGGCTCTGGGTGGGTCAGGAAATTCTAGAGGCCCACCTAACAACAGCACAGAACATTGTGAGACTACACCGAGGGTAAGTACACTTGACGCAAGAAGTTGTGTCTTTTTTTTTTTTTTTTTTTAAGATTTTATTTGTTTTTAGAGAAAGGGGAAGGAAAGGAGAAAGAGAGGGAGAGAAACATCAATGTGTGGTTGCCTCTTGTGCGGCCCCCACTGGGGACCTGCCCTGCAACCCAGGCATGTGCCCTGACTGGGAATCGAATCGGAGACCCTTCGTTTTACAGCAGCCTTTGCTCAATCCACTGAGCCACGCCAGCCAGGGCAAAGTGTGTCTTTATAGTGGCCAGGTGCACATTCTTGATTCTGTTTGAGCTATGAACTTTTTGTTGCTTTCACACTCTGTGTATATGTCCCTTAGTGTCACTACCACTTATAGTCATTTTCGGAAATGGCTGCCAATGTGTCTTACATTTTGGAATTGGAACAAAATGCTGTGCAAAGATACCATAATGTGGAGGCTAAGAACAAAAGAAGGTTAGGTTTGAATATCATCACCGACACTTACTGACTGATGGTATACTGGTTACTTCTGTGAACTTGGATGAACTCACTGGTAAACCAGGAGTAAATGACTTACTACCTCATGAGATGATTGTGACGAGTAAATGGGTGGCATTGCATGGTGGTTAAGAGAATAGTCACTGGGGTTTCATAATCCCAGATCTCAGGTTACATGCTTATAGCCTTAGATATACCACTTAATAGTGTACTTATTATTAAGTGCAAAGGATAATGCACTTAACCTTTTGAAGTGCATTATCTTGTAAAATAAAGATAAATTAGTACCTGTCTCCTAGGCAGACTCGTTAGGAGCAAGTTACTAAAACAGTGAGTAGTCTACTGGGATTGAAGCAAAGGTAATAGAAGAGAAGTATTAAAAGATAGGTTGATGTCATGTTTACAGGTAGAGAGACTTACATTCTGTAAGATAGTTATGGAACCACTAACTTAAACAAGCATGTGGATTGAGAACCAGATTTGTAAAAGAAAGTAAATGGAGTTTTGAATAAAATTGAGCTTTAGAAATAGGAGACCAAGGCTTAGTTGAAATAGGGGGGCTGATATGTAAAATTGATCAGCATAAAAGTGACAGAGGAGAGAAAAATAAACTTTCTTAGTGGGTGAGGAGAAGGTAGGAATTTGGACTTAATGAAGCGCCAATGGGATGCGCATAATGGGGGGGGCTGATGAAAGGTCAAGAATGATGTGACTGACACTTTAAAAGTTGTCAGAAAAGGGGGGTTGGGAAATGATTAGCAGTATCATTACTGAAAGTATGAAAAATGCATGAGGGTGGAGGAAGACAGATTTTGAAGGACAACAGTAGCTAGGAGAGTTCTAGAATCATAAATAGTAGGTATCTTGGTCTTCTGTTCTAACTCCCTCATTTTACAGAGGCCGGAAGAGATCCTGAGGGGTTTTTGTGAAAACTCCAAGTATCCTTTACTCCTTCCTCCCTCTATATCTGGTCTCAATTCTCTTTGTTTCCTTCTCAGAGATAACTCCTTGTATTATTCCTCTGAATAATACTCCATTGTATGGCCATACCACAGTTTATCCATTCACCTACTGAAGGACATCTTGGTTGCTTCCAAGTTCCTTTCCTGTCATGACTCAACTCAGCGTGCTTCATTTTACATGTAATAAGGACAGTGACCTTCCTACCAGTTTTCCCATCCGGAGGGTCATGTCACAGCTCTGGTTTTTGTTGAAGTGTTTTCTTACTAAAATTATTGGAATAGTAAATATATTCATGAGTCAAATTTCAAAAAGTATAAAAAAAAAAAATCTCTCTTCCTAAATGTGTCCCATTGCCAACTAGTTCTGTTTCTCACAGGCATTATCTTTTTTATATATGCCCTTCCAGAGATATTTTATGTATATATAAGCAGATATGAATTTTTTACATTAATGGTGGCTTTATGTTTTTCACTATGCTCTATTTATTTTTAAGCTCATAATAGGAAGAATTTTGAATATATACAAAAGTTGACTAGTTTAAGGAACTTTCATGTACTCATGTCCTGGCCCCAGGCACCATCAATTCATGGCTAAACTTGCACCATCCACTCCAAATCAGGATCCAGAGATGGTCTACAGGTTGCCATTGGTTGGTATGTCTTTTAAGTCTGTGTTAATCTGTAGGTTCCCTGTCCAGTTGTGTGTGTGTGTCTTTTTTTTTTTTTTTTTTTTAAGGTTGTATTTTTTTAGAGAGAAGGGAAGGAGGGAGAGCGATCAAGAGAGGGGCAGAAACGTGGCTGTGAATGAGAAGCATCAGTTGATCCGTTGCATCTCACGCTCTGCCCCCCAATGGGGGACCTGGCCTGTAACCCAGGCATATGCCCTGACTAGGAACCAACTGGCAGCCTCTCAGTTCCACAGGCCAGAGTTCAACCCACTGGGCCACACCAGCCAGTGTGAAAACAGACTGTCTTGTAGAATTGCCCCCACAATTTGGATTTTGCTGATTGCATTCCTGTTGTTCCTTGCTTTTTCTTGTTTTTTTTTTTTTTTTCAATAGACTTTATTTTTTTAGAATAGTTTCATATTTATAGAAAATAGAGCGGCCCTGGCTAGTGTGGCTCTGTGGATTGAATGCCAGCCTGCAAACCGAAAGGTCGCTAGTTCAATTCCCAATCAGGGAACATGCCTGGGTTGTGGGCCAGGTCCCCAGTCGGAGGCGTGTGAGAGACAACCGATTGATGTATCTCTCACACATTGATCTCTCTATCTCCCTCCCTTCCCCTCTTCTAGGGGTACATAAATAAAAGCTTTTAAAAAGTGAAAATGGAGCAGAAAGTACAAAGTTCCCATGTTCCCACCCCCAGCAGTTTTCTCTATTTAACATCTTGCATGAGCCAATCTAGACGCATTATTATTAACTCAAGTCATAGCTTATGTTAAGGTTCATACTTTATGTTGTACATTTGTATAGGTTTTGACAAATATATAGTGACATATCCACCATTACAGTGCCATACAGAATAATGGTTTCACTGCCCTAAAAATCCCCAGTGTTCACCTATTCCAACTGTCCTTCCCCCTCCCCCTCCCCCATCTCTTTGCAATTACTAATATTTTTACTGTCTCCATAGTTTTGCCTCATCCAAAATGTTACAGCATTATACTATTTAGGCTTTACAGATGGGGTTCTTTTCCCCTAGCAATATACAGTTGAGGTTCCTCCATGTCTTTCAGGGCTTTGGTAGTTCGTTTCTTTTTATTATGGCTAAATAACATTTCATTGCATGGAAGTACCACAATTTATTCCTTTACTTAGTGAAGAACATCTTAGTTACTTACAAGTTTAAGCAGTTAGCACCTTCTTTTTTAGTTTCTGATGTCTTACCTAAATGTATACTACAGCAGTAGGATAAAATTCAACTTAGAATTGCCAGACTTGTTGCTCTTTCTCCACCACCGCAAAAATCAGTGTGTCCCATTCCATAACTTTACCTTTTCTTTATTTTTTTTTTTTTTTCCTTTTCAGTCATCTCCTATACCTTTCATTGGGTGAGGAGGTCAGGTACAACAGAGATAAGGCATTTTTGTAAAATTTATGAAGACAGCCCTGGCTGATGTGGCTCAGTGGATTGAGTACCAGCCTGTGAACCAAAGGGTCGCTGGTTCAATTCCCGGTCAGGGCACATGCCTGGGTTTCACGAGAGGCAACTACACGTTGCTGCTTCTCTCCCTCTGTTCCTCCCTCCCTTCCCCTCTCTAAAAATGAATTAAAAAATAAATATTTTTTAAAAGACCCATTATATCTCCCACCTGCCTCAAGTGAGCCACTGTAGGAGGTTTTGCTGAGCAGTGTAGTCAACTTTATGGTCATCATCTTTATGATCTGTGGCAATGCAATCATAGAATGCAGGTGTCCTCAGAAAGGGTTCTATATACTTTTATATAATATCTGCTTTGGTTTGTTTGTATTTTATGTCAGAAGTATTCCAAAAGGAATATCTAAGAAGAGTGTGGGAATGGTGATATGTATATGTTTAATATGATTGGAGATTGTAAATTCAATATGATTGTGTGACTAACTTAGGTTAATAGTTGAATGTGACTTTTAAAAAAAAATGTTTCATAAGCCTTAATTTAGTTTCTTTTCCCGCTGTTTTGCAGATAATGTCTTTTTCTTTCTTTAAAACCATTAGGTAAAGGAGGTAAAAATAGACGTAGGGGTAAGAATGAGAATGAATCTGAAAAAAGAGAACTGGTATTCAAAGAAGATGGACAAGGTAAGCGTTTTCATAATATAGGTTTCTTTTAGTAATAGTTTTGTTTTTTGAATGTGGAATTTCAGTGTCTAATCATGAGAGAGGTACTAGTCATAACCCACAGCAATGAATCACACGTCCCTCTTGCTCTTCTCCATTTCTCATCCTCACACCTCTCCAGAGCCTTTGTTTTGTTAGTCATTTCTTGGTATACTTGGTGTGTCTGTAAATACGTAGATTTCATTGTTTTGTGTGAACACTCATTTCTCAGAATGACTTACACAGTTTAGAGGGAATTAAACCTCAAAAGTGATGGTTGACAATCCACGGTTTACTAGACCTGTTTTGATAGTAAATAGCACTACATAGTATGTGCAGCAGACCATGGATGCTTGAGGGATGAATCTGAAGAAGCCTTTCCCTCGTTTCTCCAGTGCCCTTAGCATATAATTTTTATAAAATATAATAAAATGGAACTGAACATTTGACTTACCTTTTCAAACCTATTAAGACTTTGTAAGTACCAGACCAAAATATGTAATACTAGTTTCTTGTATTTTTATTTTGAGTAATTTTAAACCTTCAGGTAAGTTGCAGTATTTAGTACAGTGAACTTCCTTTAAATTACTCTTTGGTCTAGGGTGTGTGTGTGTGTTTTCTGAACCATTTGATAGCTGCGGACATCATAATACTTTTCCCTTACTACTTCATCATATGTCATTTAAGAACAACTATAAACTCTTACATAACTGAAACAGAGCACTCAGGTGATTTTGAGTATATTATATAGCTAGTATATGGTCCATATTCAAAATTTTCCAGTTATTCAAATAATTTCCAGCAGTTTTTTCCCCAGAACTTTTTAACAGATTTTTTAATTTGTCTTTTTATAGGACTTTGGTGATTTGTTCATGCCATACAAAAATGAAACATGTTTTCTGGCGTAGAGGCCTTTTTGTTTGTTAGGTTTAGGGATGTCAAACTCATTTTCCCCAGGGGCCAGATCAGCTTCGTGGTTGCCTTGAAAGGGCCGAATATAATTTCAACTTCTTAACAATTAAGGAGCAGTTACATTTATACAGTCCTAAAATTATTCTGGCCCCTTGAAGGTAACTGCGAGGCTGATGTGGCCCCTGGGGAAAATGAGTTTGACACCCCTTTCTTAGGTCATTCTAGCCCCTGTTAGCAGTTGGCTTGATTTTGACCATGACTTTGGAAGAGAGGTGGTCTTTGAATTGACTGGCCATGTTGAGGTACTAGGTTCGCTGCATGTGGTCTAACTTACTTCCACGTGTCAACCTCACGGTTGAGCTTTTCAAAATTACATCTCTGTATTTATCGATATTTGGATGTCTTCTTTGGGGGTTAGTCTAATGTACAACTTAAGTAAGGTAAAGGTTCTGAAGCGATGTGTATGACCCCTGCCCACCCCTCCCCCCCGCCATGTCCTCTGCCATTTAATGATAAAAGCGGCCCATGTGCAAAGCTAATGCTCATAAATAATCTTGGTTTTTCAGATGGCAGTGAAACCAGTTGGCTTCCTGGGTACCTTTTTGGAAAGATTTTGATTAATTAAAAGTTTGGTATTTTGCCTCATAACATCTTCAGTTTTACAAAAACTGTGGAATAATCACTAAGATACTCTAACGTAACAAAGACATAGTTAACATATAAGCCACTTTTATTTGCCAGATGTACTAAGTATTGTGTTGAGATTAGCCTCTAAAGGTTCTAAGGGAAAGGAGATCCAAAATTGGGAAAGGCTTCAAATATGAAAGATGGAGGAGGTGTAGCGTGTACATTTAATAAAAGTGAGTTCATAATTAAAACATTTCTGATAGCAGAGAGACAGCTTGTCAGAGTCTTGTTCGTGGTCCTGCCATTATCTAGCTTGGGGTTTATCATTCCCTTGTATTTTTTGTACTTGTGTATATTTATTCCCAGGTAGTATACTTAGTTTTATGTAGACTGCTAAGTTGCTTTTATCAAAAGTTTAACATTATCTTACACCCTATTCTTTTCCCTCCCCCAGAATATGCTCAAGTAATCAAAATGTTGGGAAATGGGCGCTTAGAAGCAATGTGTTTTGATGGTGTAAAGAGGTTGTGTCACATCAGAGGGAAATTGAGAAAAAAGGTAGGTGTGGGGATTTGTCTTAGTTCAATACAAAATTGTCGTTATGGGACGGGAAAATGGCTCTACAGTTTTTATGTGCCAAGGGCGTCATAAGTTCCCAAAAGGGTTCAGTAGAACAGTGATTTATAAATTCCATCTAAAGATTCATTTGCATGACCTATGCTGCATTCCTGCCAAAAATGTTTAACCTGAATCTAATCGGGAGGAAATAATCAACAAATCCAAATTGAGGGATTCTGCAAAGCGAATGGCCTGGCTTTTAATACATTGTTCATGCCAGGAAAGAGGAAAAAGAGGCTGGGGTGCTATTGAGGGTTATATTAATGTTAAAGTTCCTGAATTTTGTGACCACAGATGGGCTGCCTTAGAAGGTAATGACTAATTTCCCATTAGTCATTAGTAGGTATTCAGGCAGGTTTATTAGATTGGTTAAGAGTTCCTCCAAGTCTGATTTTATGATTTTTAAAAAATGTTTTTGGTTTGTTAATCCTTACATTACCAAAGTAAAGTGGTAGGGGAAGTAGAAGGGAGGGAGGGAGATGAGGCTACATTTCTAAATTTTTTAAAATTGTCACCTGAGGATATGTTTTTCTTGGTTCAAGAGGAGGGAGGGAAGGAGAGAAACATCATTCGGATGTGCCCCGACTAGGGATTGAACCTGCAACCTTTTGGTGTACAGGACGCTACAACCAGCTGAGTCACCTGGCTAGGGCCACATTTCTAATTTTATATTCATAATATGTAATGAATGGCTAACTAACCACTTAGAGTGGTTCACTATGAAAAAAATCCCTTGATTTTTAAACTAATCATCATTTCTGTGGACTTAGTAAACTGCCAAATAGTTAAGTTAGAGTATTGCTTCAATATCCCAAATTACAGAAAAGTTTAAACAGGCACAGCTACTTGCTATAGATTTTTGTTTTGGGGGCCCCCCCAAAAAACAAATACTATTCTAAATAATACGTACTTTGCCCAAAGTACGTATTATTAGCATTTTGGGTAATTAGCATTTTATGAGAATGCTGGCTAAGTGTTGCTCTTGATTCTTTATTTTCATTTCTTTTATAGGTTTGGATAAATACGTCAGATATAATACTGGTGGGTCTACGAGATTACCAGGTAAAATAAAATAAAGTTTCTGTTGTTCACTTGCTTGATTGTGATCATCCATTAATGTTAGGAGCATGAGCCATGACCATATTTGACCAGTCCCAGCCCAGTATGCCCTTTACCACTGGATCAGCAAACATTTTGTAAGGGCTAGTTATTTATGGCCTGGGCATGTGCTAGAATATGCTCACCACTTTGGAAGTACCCCAGGTACCCCAAATGCTAGTCTGTGGAGTTCGTATTTTCACTGTGGAAGAAATATAGGCCATATACATTTTTAATGAAGCCAAATGGTTGTTCTTCCTTTTTTGATAGTTAAAGTTTCCTTTTTGAAATGAGTGATAGTGTATAGTAATAGTTTTGTTAGTGTTCTTAGTTGGCAAAATAAAAATCACCTTGTATTGGCCCTCCCACCCTAATTTAAAAATATATATATATACATCTTAAAATCAAAATTTGGAAACCATTATCCATGGGGCTACAGCTAAATTATTTGTCTTCCCATCCCACAAGATGCTTACAGCCTAGTGCTGGGGAGAGTAAGACAAGGACACAAGTAATTGCAGTATGTACTCTAAATTTAGATAAGTACTTAGGTAAGAAAATGGTAGTTGCCCCTCTAGATCTCAACCTGAAGACATGGTGGGTCTGTGAAATCCATTTGGCTCTACCTGTTAGAACTCATCACCATGTGTTAAATCACATTGTGAGTGATAAGATGTTTCTGTTTTTATAACCTTGGTCATAATTTGATTTTTTAATAATACATATATATATTCCAGAATAAAAAAATTAAAATCTTTACTTTCATCAGTGGTTCTCAACCATGGGTGATTTTTTTTTTTAAATGTCCAGTGGCCATTTGGCAGTGTCTTTAGACATTTCTCGTTACGACTGAGGGAGGGGGACAGTGCTCCTGGCATCTAGTGGGTAGAGACCAGGGATGCTGCTAAATATCTTAACAGTACAAAGGACAGTCTCTACAACAAAGAGTCATCCTGCCCAAAATGTCAGTAGTGGTGAAGTTGAGAAAGCCTGCCTTAAATTCATATCATTTTAATGTCCATTTTCTTATTTTGATCCCAAAAGTAACCCCAGAAGTAGGAAGAATAATTAGTTCCCTATTTAACAGATAGGAAACCAAGGTTCTGAAAGATGTAACATTCTAAATGGAAAATGACAGCCAGGACCAATGTTTTTTGATTCTTAATCTCTCTCGTGACCCTTCCCTGCCCCTGCCACTTAAAGAGGTGGTCCAGGGACCAGTAGCATCGTTAAGTTTTGGGAACTTGTTAGAAATGCAGATCCTTGAACCCTACCCCAAGCCTCCTAAATCAGAATATGCATTTTAACAAGCTCCCCTGGCTTTCTAGGTACATTACAGTTTAGGAACTGCAGGTCTGAGTCACACTGCCCTTGCATCACTGTGATCATTTTTGTTGCCTTTGAAACAAATCAGCTTCAACCCTTTTTTGTTACTTAACTGAGTCATATTTTTTTTCAAATGGGGGAGTATGACTTTTAAAGCAGTAGTTTTCAGTGGAACCTGTGCAGCAGAAACACTCAAAAAGCTTTTTAAAATAAAAATTCATGGCTTCACTCCACATCTACTAAATCTATCTTGTGGAGGTATAAAAGTTCCATTGGAAATTCTGATCAATTCTACCCTAAGAACCACTAATATGTGGAAATGTGTATTATTAGTTTCCTTAGGTCATTATACCAGTCTCATTTTTTTTAATTTATTTATTTTTAGAGAGTGGGGAAAGGAGGGAGAAAGAGAGGGAGAGAAACATCAGTGTGTGGTTGCCTCTCGCATGGCCCCCACTGGGGACCTGGCCCGAAACCCAGGCACATGCCCCAACCAACCAGGAGTCAAACCAGCGACCCCTTGGTTCACAGGCAGGCACTCAATCTGCTGAGCCATACTAGCCAGGGCCCAGTCTCAATTTTTTAATTACCTGTAAGTTAAGGTCCCCGAAGTTTCTGTATTTCAAAAGACTTCTAATCAAAGGATAATGATGAATAATCTACAACATAAGGTCTGCACAGTAAAGTAAAATCTGTGAATATCTTCCCTAAGCTGGTTTATCATTATTCACTTATGCCTGCAAGCTTTATACTGGATTAAATCCAAGGATGTTTTTCATAGTGTAGGAGAAAACTTAATATTTTGCCATAATTAGGTCTAAAAGTTTTCTTCTCTTTTCAAGGACAATAAAGCTGATGTAATTTTAAAATACAATGCAGATGAAGCGAGAAGTTTGAAGGCGTATGGCGAGCTTCCAGAGCATGGTAATGTCTGAGTTACTGTATTAGCCTGTCATGACGCTATTACCTGGTGGTATTAAGATGAATGAATTTCAGTAGAGTTTTGTGGATTCTGCATATTTACTTTCGTGCTTACATGATTTGATTTAAGTCTGACTGCCTATACTAAATACCTGTACTAGATGCCTTAAGAAAATAATTGGGATTCTGTTTCTAAGAAATATATAATACAGTTCATGAGAAGTTAAGTTTTATAAACCCTGGGCTTCTGCATTATAGCAATCAAAGAAAAAATTGTGTTACAGTATTTCTTTCAAAATTCCTTTCTCAAAGAGACTGTCAAGTGTTCCTCTACTTTAAATGTGAAACAAGTATAGTAATTAGGTGCTATTGTCAATTTTTATTAAAAAGTCAATCTCCATCTTACCCTAGTATTATAGTATCCCATAGGATTTTTTAAAGCCAGTATTCTTTGTTTCCTTTCCTCCCAATACAAAAGTTGTGTGTGCTTAATGCAGAAAATTTAAGTAAAGCAAAAATAAGTCCCTCAGAACTTTATCAAAGAGGAAATACACTTTGCATACTATTTTGTAAGCCTGCATTTTTCACATGGAAGTTAACTTTAGGGGAAACTCTGTTGTATGTTATCATGGAAATAATGTGACATTTTATATTTTATATTTTGCTGTATCTCCAAAACATTAGGATACATATATTTATGCCCAGGATGAGTAGCTCAGTTGGTTAGAGCATTGTCCCCATTCACCAAGGTTGCAAGATGGATCCCAGGTTAGGGCACATACAGGAAGCAACAGATGGCTCCACCCTATGGGACCTAGCTGTTTGGGTGTTGTCCTATAAAGCAAAAGGTCACTGGTTCCATTCCCAGTCAGGACATGTGTCCAGGTTGCATGTTTGGTCCCCATTTGGAAGGCAGCCAATCAAAATGAAAATTAAAAAAAAAATTTTTTAAGATTCTATTTATTTTTAGAGAGAGGCAAAGGAAAGGCGAAAGGGAGAGAAACATCAATGTGTGGTTGCCTCTCGCACACCCCCTACTAGAGACCTGGCCCACCAGCCAGGGCTAAAAAAAAATTTTTTTTTAAAGAAGTAACCAATGAATGCATAAATAAGTGGAACAACAAATTGATGTTTCTCTAAAATCAATCAATAAAAAAATGTTTAAAAAGGAATACACCCAATTACAAATTTGTAAACAAGTACTGCTACTCTACTAATGCTATGTACCTTTACCTTTCAAAGCATACCCTAAAAACAAAATGAAAAGGGATAAGAAATAAATACATCATTCTATTATTTTTTTAATAAATTAGAGACCATGAAAATGCTGCTGAAATCAATTATCTGGCATTTCCAATCTAGTAAGTGCTAATATATCTGAGAATAGGACTAGCACTTTATGGTTCATTTTCATTGCTTTGGGATAGCATGACTTGACCAGATCTTTCTGATTGATGAGTCTGATGATTGGTGAGTTGTTAGGGTGTGCTTAAACCTTTTTTAAAGCTTAGCTGGAAGTTGTAATAGCTTCAGAATTTATGTAATTAGAGCCTGCCTTGCTAAAAATACCTTTACAGACAAAAGAAAATTTTAACACAAGTACATTCCATCTTGACTTAGCAGTCACTTTGTTAACAGGTTTTGTTGTGTGAAATGCTATTCTGTATAGTAGAATTGTTAGGTCAAAATTAGGATCTTTCTGATAATAAAACTTAGATTTAATTAAATTAGAAGTTTGCATTGTAAGTGTCTCCTTTTATAGTTCAACATTTGATATCAACACTTGTTTTAGTGAGCACTTACTTATTTTAATAACATCTTGGTTATGTTAAACAAGTATATTTGTTATTGTTTCTTCAGCTAAAATCAATGAAACTGATACATTTGGTCCTGGCGATGACGATGAAATCCAGTTTGATGACATTGGAGATGATGATGAAGACATTGATGATGTAAGTAGATGCACCTTGCATTTTTCAACATTTGTTTATGAATTATCCATAGAGAAACCAACTCTTTATACCCTAATTTCCTTTAATCTAAGAACGTTGAACATTTAAATAAGGATATAAACACTCAATAGACAACTAGTCAGACTGTTTATACTGTGAGAATTCATCTGTTTTCAGCATTTCTTCCTAGAAAGATCAATCTTTGTTTTGACGATATAAATGCTAGGCATTGGAAGCATACCTTATTTAAATAAGAGTGTCTGAAGAGCCGTGACCTTTGTGACTCGGTTGGGTGCCATCCCGCAAAGTGAGAGGTCGCCGGTCACATTCATGGTCAGGGCACATGTCTAGGTTGCAGGTTCAGTTTCAGGTCAGGGCACGTAGAGAGGTGACCAATCAATGTTTTTCTCCTTCTCTTTTCCCCCTCCCTTCCCCTCTCTCTAAAAATAAGTAAATAAAGTCTTTTTTAAATGTGTCTAAAGCAATTGCTATTAAAAACTTTAGTTGTAAGAAATATAAGATCTTACAATAGACACATTGCTTCTCTCAATTGAAATACTAGTATGTTAAAAGAAGAAACATGTGGACCAGCTTAATAAGAAGCTTTGAAATTACAACATACATTAAAAGCTGTGTTAAAATCAAGGTCTTTTTGCCATTATGTGATTTTTATCTGCTGGAAGTGGACTATTGGCAAACTCTTGGTTTGGAGTTGGTGTGTATATTTTGAGAAAATGTTTATTTTTGTTTTTTTCTTTCAAATTTTTTAGCAGCAAAGCAGTGATGCTCACAGAAACAAACACCTCATTGCCATTCTCCTCTTGCCATATTTAAGTGAAATTCAAACTTTGTTTTTGGCAATACAAATTTATTTAATAATTGGGGTATTATAAATTACTCATATTTGGTATGGGCTCCTCAACCCCCTGTAAATAAAAATGTAGTTCAGAAACCACCTGTATATATAAGTCTAAAATTAACGCTAATGTTTGATTTGCTTCAAAGAGGAAATTTTCATGCACCTAGAGCAATTGTTCCTGACCAAGACTGTGCAACAGAATTACCAGAGCTTTTTAAAAATACAAAGACTAGTCTTGGGCTAAGTTAGGCATCCCAAGTGATACCCACCACTAAGAGTCTACAATTAACTTTTTCCTATACTTGATTTATCACATATCTATGTATGTTTTTATTTATGTATCAATCCATCTTATATTTTGATACATCTTCAAACTATTAGGACATGCACATTTATGAATTTTTAAACATATAGTACTACTATAATGCTTTGTACATCATTCTATTATTATTTTTAAGATTTATTGATTTATTTTTAGAGAGAGGGGAAGGGAGGGAGAGACATCAATGCGTGGTTGCCTCTCACGCGCCCCCTACTGGGGACCTGGCCCGCAACCCAGGCATGTGCCCTGACTGGGAATCAAACCAGCAAACCCTTTGCTACACAGGCCAGTGCTCAATCCACTGAGCCATAACAGCTAGGACTATTCTTTTTAATGTTGCTCCTTTTGCAGACCCTGAGCCACAGAATTCTTGAAACTGAACTGTTAATGATACTTAGACAGTAGATTTATCTATTATGTTTTCTGACAAGAACCTGACACGGAGCTACTGTGTTGTAGAGTAAGGTGGGATCTAATCATTTGGACAGCTGAGCTGGGATAGAAGGCCTCTTCAGAAATTAAGAGCCTAAGCAGAGAACACACCTGAATAGGAGACGACATACAGGGGTGATAGGTCGAGGATCTAGACAGGGGAAAGATTTTCTAAGAAGAAAATTTCTGAGTCCCTGTACTTCCTCAGAACTGGGCCTTGCAGGCTGGTGGGGTAACAATGATAAAGACAGTGGTTACTAAGGGAATTGGAGTTATATTGAACATTTGTAAGGGTGGCTTTATCACCTGAGAACCTTACTTCTTCGAGACATTTCTCTAGATGATTTATAGGTATTCTAGCTTTCATCCCTCTAGCCAGGTTGACTGGAAGGAGCATTTGGTCAGTACCATATGTGGTCCTTGCTTAAAGAAATAATGTTCCCCCATGTCTGTTCCCGCCCCCAGAAGATGACACTAAACTTTATTAAGAATATTCAGTATAATGTGTAACACTCTGATGGATGTTGTGAAGATTTACTGGCAGCAGACCAGAATTGAGAAAAACATGGTATATAGAAATTCCTCTTCAAACTGGGTTTGTTTCCCAGATAACCTAGGGGAAGAGGGGTCTCCCTTATGTGATAGGCTACTGCAGTATAAGAATTTGGTTTTCATTTGATTTGATGTTCTTTTTCCCTTTCAGATCTAAATTGACCTCGACATTTTACATTCCACCTTCTCTGAGGATTGATCAACAATTTGGATTTTGGCTGTTGCCTGTTAAAGAAGATTAAAATTATCTTTAGTTTGAGTACAGTTTGTTAAAGCAGACTGATTTGTTTCTAAGGTATTTCTTTAAAAACTGGTAGTGCTAAATTAAAGTAAATTTTAAGCCCACTTCGTTCTTTGGTGTAATGGAGCTTATGGGTAAAAGAGCACATCTACTATTTTTCAAAAGAGGAAAAACTTCATTACCTTTCCTACTTCGACCACTTCAGTAAGTAAATGGATGTTTTGAATAAACCATTTGCCCTATACTTGTGGATTATGGTTAAGCCCTACTTTTGACTGGCCTGTCGACTGTACAGTGACTTTCTGTATATTTCAGTTACCTACATGTCCCTTTGCGGTTTTGATAAAAATTAAGGGAGCAGAAATTTTCATTTGAAGTCAAATGATTAGGTCTCTTTCATATTTAAGTATCATGTGACTATTTTTATACTGATTTTGATATTACATATTTCCTTTTCATGACCTTATTTTGCCACTATAAACATCAACAAAAAAAACGTTTCCAAGATGCAGATTTTAGAACCTGGGTTTTAATAGCAATTTTTATTTGTAAGGTTAGTAGTTGCAGAGATTGAACACTAGGTGGCACCCAGTTATCTTAACATCAGAAATACTGATATAGTTGTCAACTTTTTTTATTAACTTACTGTGCATAGGAAATTTCTCAACCAAGAAGATTGTTTTGGTCATGTGCATGTATGTGGAATATTTTTGCAGAACAAAGGATTACATTGTGTCATTTTATTTCAGAAGTCATATACATGTGAGCTACAAAATTTTGAATGCTGTATAAATGAAAATTAATCCCGTAACAACTTACATAAGTTGAATGTTTTTCAAACTATCCCAAAGCTGGGGAAAGAGGAGGGAATAACATTTAATGAAAAAAATGGTCTCCTATTTCTGAATGAAAAAGCTACAGTGGAGAAATATAATAAAGACAATGTCACATTGCAAACTCTATTATACCTTACTTTGTGTTTAGGATGTATTTTATTGTGGGTTCAGTTTTTTTTTTTTTTGGTTTATATGTTACTGAGAATTTAGATTCACCCTTCCTTATTTAGTTTTTTGTTTAGCAACACTAGTAAAATGAAATTAAGGGGTGGACTAGTTAGACCTCACTAGTCACATTGAAATCATATGCAACTTTAAAAGAAGAGATCCATCATGTAGCACGTGAAGATTTTATTCTGCTGGTCTTCAGAGAACTTTGCCGTGGTGAAAAGTAACATAAAGGGGAATAAACTTTCATGTGGCTTCTAAGAAAACATCTTATCTCATTCCATGCTTAGTATAATTTCCTAAGTGCAAATTCTGAAATCAAAATCTGGGGTTCTATAAAACATTTTTTAAAGATTTTATTTATTTTTTAGAGGGGAAGGGAGGGAGAGAAACATCAGTGTGTGGTTGCCTCTTGTGTGTCCCCTACTGGGGACCTGGACCACAACCCAGGCATGTGCCCTACCTAGGAATTGAACTGGTGACCCTTTGGTTTGCAGGCCTGGGCTCAACCCACTGAGCCACACCAGCCAGGGCCTATAAAACATTGTTAAATCAAAGAAGAGAAATTAAGGGTGAACATTTGTGGTTCATGTTTCTTATTTGGTGTTACTGAACACTTACCTAGGTGGGATGTATGTGAGCCCATGGGCTAGTTTTTAATATTTACAAGAAACCAGCCTCTAAGAATTGTCAATAGTTAACTCTTTGCCTGGGATGCAGTTCATGGTAGGGGTAGTGCAACATCAGTTTTTCTACTTAACTCCTCTAATATGTTTTATCTAAAGATTCTTTAAAAATTACAATAGCCCTAAATCTTCACGTGTTAGCTAGCGATTTTTTTTTTCTTGCCTTGGTAGTAACAGCTCAATATAGTGCTGTTGCATCCTGGAAAATCAGAAATAATTAAAATAGGTGAGGTAAAGTTGTGGCTCATATGCATCACTACTTGGAATTATTTTACTAACTTGTCTTTAATGTGGGAATAATACTGTTTTCATTGATTTCATTCTATTTCAAATGAGGAATGGAAGTAGTCCTTAAGGAAATTTTGTTTTTGGGGTTTGGGAGGTTTTTTTTTTTTTTGGATATACTCTGATTCCTAAAATACAAAGCTATAAAGTGTGTTGTGAGAAAATAAAATGTTTGAAATCCAAGGATAATAGTTCTTACTGCTAAGAGGTGTAATAGTTAATTACTAATGACTTTCATAGGCTTGCTTTTTTCATGTAGTGTTAATTCCACTTCCAGTTAGAGTATAAACATGTTGTATTACTAACTTGGCTAAATAATCAAACCAAGTGTTTGTGTAAAAAAAAAAAAGTGTTGCCAAGATTTGACTGTTGAATCTTCCTTGAACATCCAGCCTCTTAAAGAGACTGCCTCTTACTATGCATGATGAAAATTCTTGTGTTAAGGAATGGCCATTGGTTAACTCACCGCATCTGTGGTATTGTGGCTATAAATATAGTTGCTTACAAAACTCTTTGTGACTTGTGGTTTAACTTAGTTTCACCTATGATGTGTAAATATTAAATTTTAGGATGCTATCAGTATTGACTAAAGAGCAAACCAAGTAATCAATTAGGGAAAAGCATGTTTCAAATAAAATACCTAGCTGGATTTATACTTTCTTGTATTATATACAGATTTAACAACATTCACTATTAACTGTGGCTTGACTGTTAAAGTATCAGAATGAAAGGAAGGTTCTTTATGTTACCTGGCTGTCATAAAGATAAAAGAACTGTATTGGTATGAGATGTTCAGATCTTTATCCTGCTTCACAAGAAGTTTCATTTATGTTGTTTGGACTCCCATAAACTTTCACACACCAGTTTGTGTTTTTGATTTACATTAAACTACCATCGTTTTTATCCTTTTTTTTTTTCTTTCTATTCAGAAAAGTACACAATCTGAATTGTCTTAATACAAGTATAAGAAGACACTAGCCTCTCAGGTATAGAGAACCAAGGAATTTGGAGAGAGTATTGGACTGTGTCCACTCTTCCCCCCAGCTGCCAGGTACTGAGGAGGCGATGGGGCAGAGAGTGAAGAGTATGGGCCCTGGGGTCCGGTGGCCTGTGTCCCAAAACCCATTCTTCCCTTTACCTGCAGGTGACCACTGGTATTTCCAGCTTGTCTGAGCTTCAGGCTCCTCGCCTGTAAATGGGAATGATGAGAACAGTGCCTGCAGAATCACAGAATTGTTGGGGATTGACAAGTATTTGTTCATACATGTAATGCACTTAGAGCATTGGCCACCTCTTTTCACTCGATATCCAGGATTGTGTAAGATAGAATATGCATGTTTTTTATATTCCCTACCATTTCTTTTATGTGTAGTCTTTGGTTTCTATGATAAAAGAAAAACATACAATATATATTTGTATATTCATGTTGACACTATTTAAAATAATTGCTACCATACTTGTTTAATTCAGTGTAAGACTAACAGATGGAAGCCTCTAAATTGTTTGAGGTGTTTTGCAAAATACCAACTGCTCTATATTTCCTTAGAGAAAGTTTATAATTATTAATAGTGATAGCTTTGGTCATATTTCATTCTTCAGTCTTTAATGAATCCTTTTACATCCTTTTATTTTCGATTCATGAAAGCTAATTAGTACTGACTGATTTGGAGGTTTCCGTTTTCATCGTGTGGAATTATGTAAAAAAATCAGATGCAAAATAATTGCAATTAGAAAATAAAATATAAAATAACTTGGAACACTGTATGCAACTGGTTCTTTTCAAACTTTATGACATTTCACTACTTTTATTCATGATTCTTCTCTGAAGATTTTATTTAACTTATTTTTAAAGATTTTATTCAAGAGAGGGAGAGAAACATCAAAGTGCAAGAGATACATCAATTGGTTGCCCGTTGCACACTCCCAACCGGGGACCTGGCCCGCAACCCAGGCATGTGCCCTGACCAGGAATCAAACCAGTGACCTTTTGGCTCACAGACCAGCACTCAGTCCACTGAGCCACACCAGCCAGGGCTGAAAATTTATTTTTAAAAAATTACATGTGATGTATGAGAAATATTTACTTACCTATTTTAATTTTGTGTTTTTGGTTATTTGATTGGAATGAATCCAATGAGACTTCAAATACAGAGTTGTGTTTTCTGGGTGAGTAAATTTGATACATACCTGTGGTGAAGGTGACATTTTTCTAATGTTAAATCAATTGTCCAGAGTGTCTTCAAATTGCCGAGATCACATTCAGTGGACCTTATTTTATATTATGCAATGTATGGGGATGTGGTAGATTATAAAAGAAGTTTGTTTCAGAATCATTGGGGAAAAGATAATAGATGGTGCTGGGAAAACCACTTTACAGAGAAAAGTAAATAGGGGTCTCTGTCACCCCATCTACAGGAAGTACATTGCTTTAGACTAAAGTAAATCTGTAATGAAGGAAAGTACTCTTGGTGCTAGGGAAGTGTATGCTAAACAAGACCTCTTTCATCTGTAGATTTCCTTCTATTGTACAACTACCTGCTACTGCAGTTTGAGTTTACCCCTTGACTCTCAACTTCACTGGAGTTGAAGAGCTGCAATAAACGTCCCACAATTGGACCTTTTATGTCTGCATTTTGAAAAGATCTGTCAAAGCATACACCATGAGAGGAAAAAATTGATTTTATTTTGTGACTATGAGAAACATTGGATCAAACAAGAACTAGTAATAGATGCTGAGTCTAGGGGGAGGTTTTGACAAGGAGTAGAGTATTTGCATGGCCTTAAAGTGCCTCCCTACCAATTGCTTATAAATTGAAAGAAAATAATACCACTACCGTGGAGAAAGCCACTTAGATAAAATTATAACTTCTACTTACTGAAGTTGATAACGTGGTTGTGCAAGAGAATATCCTTATTAGGAAACATTGAAATATGTAGGGGGCAACAGCCAAGTATATACTCATGCAGCTTTCAAAACAGTTGATAAAATAGAAGTACAAATGATAAAATAAATGGGGTAAAATGGTAATGATAGATGAATTTGAATAAAGGGTATATGAGTGTTTTTTGTAAACTTATTGAAACTTTTATGTAATTTGAGATTGTTTCTATATAAGAAGCTTGTAAAATAGGTTACTTTCGGCATAAAAATAAGGTTTACTAATCTTAGAAAAAGTTGACTAGTTTGCAACATTTTTAAACACAAGGAAATATCTAGAATACTGGAAACTCCTGGAAATCAAGAGAAAAAGACAAAAGCCCCAATAGATGGACAAGTATTTGATAAGCAATTTTCAGAAGAGGAAACCACTCTGAATGGCTTATCTCTCCGATTTGTATACAGCTGCAAGGAAAAACAATCATAACTTGTGCAATATCACTTATATAAATTAAAACCATGCATATCTTCACAATATATGTTAGAAAAATACATTAAACAGGAGATGTCTATTAGAAAGGATGGAGTGGAATAGAAAGTAAAAAGAAAAAATAGAGAATAAAACTAGAGAAGGTTGCTACTCTGGCATGTCAGCAAGCCATGAGCTCAAAATTGGATGTATTACAAACTCATACCCAAGATCTGTAAGAAAGAGAGGGAGGACAACCCTAGCTGGTGTGGCTCTGGATTGAGCTCTGGCCTACAAGCTCAAGGGTCGCTAGTGCGATTCCCAGTCAGGGCACATGCGGGGGTTAGGGGCCAGGCCCACAGTAGGGGGCACGCAAGAGGCGACTACATGTACTTGGTGTTTAAGTCCCTCTCCCCTCCTATTTCTAGAAATCTTCAAAAGAAAAAGCAGGGGTGGGGGAGGGGGTGGAAACCAGCTCCATGACCTAATTAACTTAAAAACAGCTTTCATTACAGCCAAGGGACCAGGCCCCACATGCCTGCTTACCTGCTCAATTGTGTCTAAAACTCCCCTTCTGGCTTTCTAACCAGAGTCGCACCCTACTCCCTCCACACCTTTGGGAGTGTCATGAACACATTCATCATATTTCTGTGACACAAAGGGGCTCTTTCCAAGATTTTTGGTTCCTGAGGGGTTCTGCTTGGGTGTGTTTTTTTCTTATTTAATTGAATTCGATGGTGTTCAGTATACTTGCAGTCAGCCATCACCATAATCCAATTGTAGAACATTTTCATCATCCCCCAAAGAAACCTTTTACCTTTATATTCAACTTAATTCGGCTTTTTAATCATGTATTTCTCCTCTATGGGTGAGAGTTAGAACCTCAGAGGGCTGGTCCTACAGAGAAGACGAAGCCTGGGGCTCCGCTGGAATTGTCATCTGGCAGAGGCTATACCTGAGTAAACACCTGGAGGCTTGAGCTGGCTCTGCAAAGATGTCTTTTTCAATATTTATGATTTCAAAAAGATGATAAATGCTTATGGTAGGGGTAAAAGGATGTCCAGGGGAAAGACACCCTCTACACACCTCGACCCTATTCCCGAGACACTAGGGGTTCTTAGAGATTTCTCAAGTGTGTGTTATTTGTGCCCCAGGATCGGCCAGGGATTGGGGGTATGGTTGGAAGGCCGAAGTCCGTCAGACTGGTGCCACTGCCCTTCCTCGTCCAGGCTGGCTATGCTGGAGTCCCACCCTGGGTGGCCCTTGCACCTGGCTGGGGTGAAGGAGGACCCAGCGTCAGCCACTCGGGCGTCTGGAGAACTGGAACCTAACTGTGCTTGTTGGGAGCGTCAGCCGCATCTGCACACGTTAGCACTGGCCCAAGGGAGAGCTGCAGCGCTATGTGTGGGGAGGTTCCTGGTGTGTGTGAATGCATGCGAGCCGTGTGAGGATGAGTGTGTACGGTGTGTGAGGAGAACATGTTGGTGCTGGGTGAGCAAGTGTATGTGCGCTTTGTTCACATGCTGTGTGGGAAACCATCCTATGTGTATAATGCTTTGAGTGTGTGCACTGTATGAGGAAGTATATTTATACTGGTGTGTGCACGTTGTGTGTGCAGGCGCGCTGTGTTACCTGTGTACACATCGCACGTGCACGCGGTATGTGCACGCGCTGTGAGAACTATTGCACACATTTGCAAGTGCACGAGGTACGCGCCTGCTGCATGAGGACCCTTGTGCACTTTGCTTGTGCACGCGGTGCGCGTGCGCAGCGTGAGAACCGGTGTGCACTTCGCACTTGCCCGCCGTATGCGCATGCTGTGTGAGGACGCGGGCGGGTGCGGGCGCGGGCGCGTGAGGCTCGGTAACTGTGCGGCGCAGCGGCTCTGTCAGTGGGCCTGTGCTGCCAGCACATCGGGATGGAGCGCGGAGGGGGCTGCGGGGCCGGAGCCCGGACGCAGGGGACTGCGCGGGGCTCTCCGCTCCACGGGAAGACGGCTGAACAAAGTGCGGTGCGGACCTCGCCGTCCAACCATCGGTGTTCAGGTAGAGCCCCTGGTTTCCGCGGGCGCTTGGGCTTCAGGACCCCAGGGGCGGGGCGGACCCGCCACAGACCGCGCAGGCACTGATCTGGAGTTGTTGGGGTGGGGACGCGGCGTGGAGGTAGGATCAACGTCCTTCCTCCTGACACTGAACGGAGGGCCGCGCCCCTCGCGGCGCGGGGGGCAGGGTCCCCTCTGGGCTGGCCTGAGTGGGTGAGCTTGGGGGTGGCTAAGGGTGGGTGGCAACCGTGTTTAACGCGGGCTGCCGAGGCCCACGTTTGATGCCCAGGGGGCCCTCCTCCTGAGCAGCCGGTGTAGGGGGTGCTGGGGCAGACCGAGCGGGCTTTGGGGGATCATCCCAGCCTGTGCTCCCGCCCACTCTGCGTCTGGGGAAACGCGCAAGAGGCGGCTGCATCTCCCTGCAAAGGTGGCCCAGCTGCGTGCTCTGCGGCGTTCCCGGAGGGGGCGGGGGGGCAGAACCCGTGGGTCACCCACTGGCAGGGGTGGGTGGAGCGCTGCCTGGGCAGCGGGGCGTAAGCCCCTGGCCGGGTTCCCCTACCCCCTGCGTGCGCTCCCCAGGGGTCTGGTGGGACCGCGGGCCACTCACGTGGCAGCTGCTAGGACCTATGGAGGGCTAGTCCCCGGACTGGCTGCCCGTTAATGAGAGGAGCAAGGGGAAATTTGAGGACATTTGGCAGAATTTTAGATAGGCAAATCTCTCGTCTTTTAATCTGTAAAGTGGTTGCAGGTAATGTGGAGGTGTAAGCAACATGGAAACTAATTTCATGCTGTTTTTCTTGGCAGAACCTTTTTTTTTTTTAAGTTAATGTGAGCTATTTTAAAAACACTTTTCACTGCAGTAAATGCGTACCACCAAAGCGCACAGATCTTAAGTATACGATTTGAAGAACTATTGCATAGTGAAAATCTGATCATTTTATAAAAATTGTACAAAGGAAGGGAAACAAATCAGGGGAAAGGTTTATTTTTAAAAAACAACCTTCAGTTTTTTAAAAAAAAAAACTTGAGAGAGAGAGACCTCGAAACATCTATTTGTTGTGCCACTTATTGATGCATTCATTGGTTGCTTCTTAGTATGTGTAGTGACTGGGAAGCGACTGCAACCTTGGCTATCAGGAAGATGTCAGGGCCTAAGGGAAATGTTCTTTAGTCAGTAAAAACATGTTTTTAATTGGGGGGAGGTATGTATGATTGAGCCTTCAGTTGCATCATTCCTGAAGGAGGAAGTGGCTTAAATCTTTCCCAGTTTGCATTTTTCGTCAGGCATATTTTTAAGGCAGAATTTAACAAACATCACAGGATAGTGATATTAATACTATAACTATATTACCTCTGTTTTCATTGTTTTTTGCTTGAGAAACTGCAGCATCTGCTAGGGAAGAATCCAGAATGCACTGTGGTGGGGTGTCAAAAAATTACTTTACTCCTACCTTCTAAATTCTTCTAGCTGGGCTAATAAACAAATTAACAGGGACACATTAGCAAGAGAAAATGGACAAAGTTTATTATGGATCCACATGCATGAGTGCCATAAGGTATGAGACCCCAGTTGAGGCTTATATGGCATTCTGGACAAAGGAGAAGACGGGTAGAGATCGGGATTTCTCCCAAAGGAGAAGTGGGTAATTCACAAGTAGGAGAAAGAGCAAACATATGGTAAACAAAGTCTTGCTGAGCCACCCAGAAACAATGGGACACAAAGGAAACCACACTTTGCTAGATTTCTTCCCGTCCCTCACATGTGCTAATTAATACGTGCTAAGGTGATTATGTTGATTCCCTTCCTAGTGCAGGTTTTTCTATTTGAATTCCTTTAGTAGGAAGGGGGAGAGTCAAAGGTTCTTTAAATCAGTATCCCAAAAGGCACATTTTGGGGTGGCAAAACTTGGTTTCGCCTCACCACCCACTTGCCCATCAGAGCCACCTGTCAGGGAGAGGGACCTAGTAGAATCAAACATTGGAAAGGGGAGGTTGTTGAAGTTTACATTTTTATTTGGTTGAGAGTTTAAATAATAGGTGATTTCAGTGTTTATAGGCAGGGAGACGCTGTTTGGTTGGGCCTGCAATTTATTAGAGGGATTTTAATTTACTTGAAGGAATTTAATAAGGGGCCAGTCTTAGCAAGTTCTAGTTGGAAACTTTATTGTAGAACCGTGTAATGCACTCTGTACTGATAGTAAGATTAGCTTAAAGCCATTTTCCTTCCTTTGAAATTGGAAATATGGGGAGACGTGTGAACGTTTAAAATGTGAAATAAACTTCTATGTGCATTAGGGTTGGTATGGAAAAATTGGAGTGTTCAGTTTTGGGGCCAGGTAGTACCGTGGTTTGTTCTTTTGAGGGCTTGTGAGGTCACGTCCTTAGAAAACGAATGCCATTATCAGAAAAGTACTGATTATTGAGGTTTTATTATAATCCACCCCAGAATCTGATCATTCTTTGGTCACCCAAGGCCGTATCATTCCTGAAGTCAACCCTGCATTTCTTGAGGGTCAACCTTTGATCCTAGGTTTGGCCTGAGTGATGTGACTGTGACGGCCAGAAAAGACCGAAAGACCTTGGCTCTCTGAAGATGTCATGTTGATATAGGGTACAGCCAGGGGGCCCCCAAATAGGGATTTGTAATGGGGCCCAGAACTCAGGGTGTCCAGGATGGATATATCTCCATATATATATAGGATGTCCTCACCCCCCACAAGTCTGAGCTGGGATGGGATGCATGCAGCAGGGCCATCGAGAGCTGTTTTGCATAGCAACAGTTTTGCAAATAACCTCTAGCATGGTCATTTAACATATCTATAACTTTTAACTGGTTTCATGGATATGTTAAATAGCTGTGGCCACACTTTGAGCCAGGGAGATGGGAGTGACCTCAACCCAGGAGGGAGCTGGGAGGCAACTACCTCTGGTTACAGTGCCTGCATGAGAGAGAAAAGAAGGAAAATTGGGGACCACGCAGCTTTGGGGTGCTCCCTTTTGCCTTGTGGCTTAGGAGGCAGGAGAGACCTTGTTGGGAAGCAAAAGGGTGAAAGGACTCTTACTGATGGGCCACGAGAAGGTGCCACATGGTTTTGGATTAACTGGAGATTGCAGCAGCGACACAGCTGATGGTGCCGGGAACCTAGGGGCTGCCTGAGCCACGGACTTCTACTTCTTTTCCTGAGATACGGTACCCCAGAGTGGGCAGAGGGAGAAGGAAGGACTGTGTTCATTTGTGGGCATTCTAAAGGACTTGAGTATTTTAATGAAGACATTAAGTCATTACTCTAAGTCTGTATAACTTTTTTGAATAAACAATTCCTTTCCTTTTGACCAATCTCTAGCATTGAGAGACGTGGCAGGCCGCGTCTTTCCCTGGTGGCAGGCAAGGTGGACCTAGTACAGGTTGGGGGGCACCCCCGGAGCAGGGGGGTGTCCATTCAGTAGAAGTATATTGTTTACCACCCCCGCCCCGGGTCTGTTCTGTAACAATGTGGGCACATTGGGGGATGGATATGAGTTGGCACATTGGGGGATGGATATGAGTTGGCGAGTGGTTTTCCTGGGAGCTGGTGTAGAAGGCCACAGAGGACTACCTCTGGTCGTCTCCTTTAGCCCAAGTTGTTGTGATAGGGAAATCCGGTGCATGTTCCCTTTATTCACCAGTGATGTTTTCTTTCCTTTTAATTACCTCCCTGCATGGAAATGACCTAATGTACTGTTCTTTTTAACGCGTGTGTTATGTGCACGGTGTAATGAAGGAGGAGCAAGCACCTGTTGCTTGGATCTGGTTAAATACCTTCGGCCAGCAGGTAGAATCACCACGTCTCAGCTGCCAGACTGCCTCAGTGTTACAATGGTTCCTGTGCTCCCCTCAGCCTGAAATGCCCGGGTCTCCATCCCCCTTTCCCTTTGGGGATTCACTTCTTCTGGGCTCCTCACGGTCTGAATTAAGGCGCATTGTCTTGTCTCTGCACTTCCCGTGAAACACTTTGTATTCTGCCGCTTGTCTCGCTAGAGGCTAGTAGATTGAGATGCAGACTGCCTGAGTATGATGCCGCCTCATTACCTTCCTGCTGCCTCAGCTCAGGGAGGCTATTTGACATCTCCGAGCTTCAGCCTTTCCACCTTTAAAATGAGCTGAAGAACACAGGGAGACGGCACTGCTTTGAAGATGAAGGAGTTAATGTCCATAAGTCAGTGCCTGACGCATAGGACGCGCTCAAGCTCGTTAGCCTTTATCTTCTATGAGATCACTGGCTTGAGCGCAAGGACTGGGTCCAGGTTATGTGTGCCTTCCTCAGTGCCACCCCAGGCAGAGCGAGGCTGGGTGATTTATCCAGCCCCTTCTCAGAGTCTTTGCGTGTAGTGGGTATGTAACTGCCGTTTGGCAATTGCATTCTGCTAGCAGCAGCTACACCTGGTACACGGGTTGAGAGTGCTCAGCAGATACTCACAAGGTGGATTAGGGAAGTGTGTCAAGTGTGTAGGTAGAGGAGTTTGAAATCGTGCAATTATGGAGCATGTTTCGTGAGGCCTGTTGGACTTTCCAAGGCATTCTGTGGGTCAAAATTGTTTACTGAGTTGCCCATTGTTCCCTAGTAAGGAAGGATGGCTTTGAGGTAAGTTGAAGGTCCCTGCCATCCTTTGGCCTGTGTATTTTCCATCCCTTGCCCCTAGATCAGGAGAATGTAGGGATGCAAGCAGGAAGTTCAAGAGCGCCGCCCCCCCCCCCCCCGCCCCCAGGCCCATAGTAGGGTGGGGCTGAGTAGGAAAGGTTGAGAGTGGGTCCCCAAGAAATCAGGGTTCTTCATCCTTTCTCAAAGTTGCATTTAAAACTGTTCTTGAACACTTGAATGCTAAAGCTGCTTGGATCTAGGAAGAGCAAATTCAGTTTGTGCAGGTGGATTAACATCTCCAGGCCCTTTGGGTGCAGGAAGGACCCCCAGGTCAGTAGGCAAAGACACAGTCATGTTTGCTTTGGGGCTTCTGGCTTTGTGTAGT